AACAGAATCTGTGATCCATCAGCTGTTCAACCTCGTGGATTTCTAACAGCTCTTGTGAGCTGCAGTGAAAAAGCTGATTGACGAGTGGTTCGGGTGAGGCGGGGGCATGGCGGTGGCTGCGGGAGGAGATGGGGTATCAGATGGGGGGAGAGCTCAGGGATTTTCACATACCACACGTCTGAAATATTCAATTTAGCACCGATCAACAGTTGCCTTTTTCAAGCTCAGATTGAATTATCCTATATGGCAATGCCATTATGTTGGGGATTATTACATGCTCTCCAGGAGATTTGGTTTATTCATCTTGCCTATTGTTGACAATGACTGGAGCACTCCCCGGAGAGCAGCCCAGAGAATTGATTTCTGACAATCCATGATTCACCTCTTTGAGTCCCCCCACTCTTCTCTGACACTCCTGCAAATCAACTTAAAGGCAGAGGCTGACAGCTCCTCGCATCACACTCCATATAAACAGCCATTATTTCTTCAGAAAGCTCTTTTTGTCTTGCACGGGGGCTTCAAAGCCACCGCATCCCCCGTTAAGATGAGCCATGGTTTGGAAGGCACACGGTGGGACTTTGATGCCGGGTACTGACGCACGCAATGTGGAAGGAGAGATGTACAGCGGGAGGAGCAGGTTTCTTTCTGTAAAGCCAGATTAGTCGGAGCTCTCGCTGTTCTGCATCCCCAGTGACAGTGCAAAGCAGAGAACAACCTCTAAGAGTAAGGTCATACAGTCACTTTAGGTGAAGTAAGTATCAGTCATAGACAAATATTGAACCTGTGCTTTCCTTTTGCCAATTTCAATTTCTTTGCAAACCACAAGTAAGTAAGTGAGTAAAACTTTATTTATGTAGCACTCTTCTCAACACGAATGTACACAGTGCTTTACAGTATACAGCATAGCCACGGGAAATAGGGGTGCAGCAGCACCCCCTAGAATCTGGAGAATCACAGAACGACCGGTTGCTCCGCTCCCTTAATATGTTTTTAAACACGATCATTGAAGTTGCGCTGACAGGCAACAGAGGTCCAAGTGTCCCCGCAGCGAGGCGTCCCTCGCCCCGTCCCCCGTTGACAGTTCACTAGCACCCCGCCCGTCCCCCGGTTGACAATTCGCCGCACCCCTAAGTAAAATGACTTCCCGCGGCTATGGTATACAGTACACAATACACAATTCAAAGTACATATATAAAATGTAGAATAAAAGGCATTAAACACAGCAGGTAAAACATAGGATAAAACACCAATGAAAAACAGCTACAAACTCACCTCCTCCGGCGCCCCAAAGGCCTGTCGGAAAAGGACACCTGGTATACCAAGGATTTCAAAGACACAACTCCACTACAATCAAAAGTCCTGAATGAAAATACTTGTGTAAACATTATCACCAACATTCACTTCAAGTATTAAAAGTATTGATTACAAATTAAATATGTTCCCTGAGAATGTTTTAATATAATATGACACATTTGTTTTAATATTTCTACATTTTATTGCTGTATTTGGCTCGTTTTTGCTTTTGTACACACGGTTGCAAGTTGAGTCTTTAGCCTTGCATCATATTCAATAAGATCATAATGTGTTTAGGGTTTTGTTGCAGGCCTTTGAGATCTACGTATTATTAAAAAAGTAAACTTTTATTTTCAAAGAAAAAGCGCCTTGTTTACTCAGTTTGGAGACGATACATTTTTCCATGCAAGCTTTTAAATACACCGTTGAGCTTTGGAAAAAGGAGAGTTTTCTCAACACAAAGGAATACTCAAATCTAAGAGCTGTCAGGTACATCCATCCATCCATCTTCTCCCGCTTATCCGTGGTTGGGTCGCGGGGGTAGCAGTTCCAGCAGAGAGCCCCAAACTTTCTTTTCCCTGGCGACAACAACCAGCTCTGACTGGGGGATCCCAAGGCGCTCCCAGGCCAGCGAAGAGATATAATCCCTCCACCTGGTCCTAGGTCTACCCCTTGGTCTCTTCCCAGCTGGACGTGCCTGGAACACCTCCCTAGGGAGGCGCCCAGGTGGCATCCTAACTAGGTGCCCGAACCACCTCAACTGGCTCCTTTCGACGCGAAGGAGGAGCGGCTCAACTACGAGTCCCTCCCTGATGACCGAACTTCTCACCTTATCCCTAAGGGAGACACCAGCCACCCTGCGGAGAAAACCCATCTCGGCCGCTTGTATCCGCGATCTCGTTCTTTCGGTCATGACCCATCCTTCATGACCATAGGTGAGGGTAGGAACGAAAATGGCCCGGTAGACAGAGAGCTTTGCCTTCTGGCTTAGCTCCCTTTTCGTCACAACGGTGTGGTAAAGCGACTGCAGTACCGCTCCCGCTGCTCCGATTATCCGGCCCATCTCACGCTCCATTGTTCCCTCACTCGAGAACAAGACCCCGAGATACTTGAACTCCTTCACTTGGGGTAAGGACTCATTCCCTACTTGGAGTGGACAGTCCATCGGTTTCCTGCTGAGAACCATGGCCTCAGATTTGGAGGTGCTGATCCTAATCCCAGCCGCTTCACACTCGGTTGCGAACCGATCCAGTGAGTGCTGAAGGTCGCAGACCGATGAAGCCATCAGAACCACATCATCTGCAAAAAGCAGTGGTGAAATCCTTAGTCCACCGAACTGCAGACCCCCTCCCCCATGACTACGCCTCGAAATCCGATCCATGTATATTACAAACAGGATTGGTGACAAAGCGCAGCCCTGGCGGAGGCCAACCCTCACCGGAAATGGGTCCGACTTACTGCAGAGGACCCGGACACAGCTCTCGCTTTGGGAGTACAGAGATTGGATGGCCCTGAGTAGAGACCCCCTCACCCCATACTCTCGCAGCACCTACCACAGTAACTCCCTGGGAACTCGGTCATACGCCTTCCACAAGTCTACAATACACATGTAGACCGGATAAGCGTACTCCCAGGCCCCCTCCAGGATCCTTGCGAGAGTAAAAAGCTGATCCGTCGTTCCACGACCAGGACGGAATCCGCATTGTTCCTCCTCAATCTGAGGTTCGACAATCGGCCTGACCCTCCTTTCTAGTACCTTAGAGTAAACTTTCCCGGGGAGGCTGAGTAGTGTGATGCCTCTGTAATTGGCACACACCCTCTGATCCCCCTTTTTAAAAAGGGGAACCACCACCCCGGTCTGCCACTCCTTCGGTACTGTTTCCGACTTCCACGCAATGTTGATGAGACGTGTCAACCATGACAGTCCCTCAACACCCAGAGCCTTCAGCATTTCTGGGCGGATCTCATCCACCCCCGGGGCTTTGCCACTGTGGAGTTGTTTGACGTTGATCCCCCGTCATACTCCAGCTCTGCCTCTAACATAGAGGGCAGAGTTGTCGGGTTCAGGAGTTCCTCAAAGTGTTCCTTCCAACGCCCTAACACTCCATCAGTTGAGGTCAACAACGTCCCATCCTTACTGTACACAGCTTGGATGGTTCCCTGCTTCCCCCTCCTGAGGTGTCGGACAGTTTTCCAGAACAACTTTGGTGCCGCCCGAAAGTCCTTCTCCATGTCTTCTCCGAACTTCTCCCACACCCGCTGTACATGTAATTTGTTAAAAACTACAATTTGTGTCTCTGAGAAGTGGTGAATTAGAAGTATAGAGTAGCATACAATGGAAATACAAGTAGCTCAAATGTGTACAGTACTACTTGAGCCAGGAAATAATTAGCATGAAGAATGGGCATAAAGCTAGCTTGACTCTATCTAGGTAAAATAAGACTACAAGTCTACATAATTTCTGTCGGGCTGATACAGCATTGCTGAGCCTGATAAGAAAAGCATGTCAGCATGCTGACATGCTTTTCTTAAGCATGTATAATATCAAATGTTTTAAGTTCACTTAAGTTTAGCGTGGTAGCTTAGCGTATTAGTATGCTCAAATAGTCTTATTTTTTATAAACAGTAAGTATATAACCTTTACCAACCAGTTAAAGTATTAAAAAGGAGCTCCATCTTTACCGGTCATGAACTAACATCTTTACCCGGCTTTTAATACCATAAAATATCTTATAGAAATTTGGTCAATCTGTAGTAACCCCATTTTGCATCCAATACTTGAAAAATATTGCAATTCTAATACTTGTGTACTTGTAACACAGTAAAATCCTGAGTGTTCATGTAACACTTAAAGAGTCAATTTTAACACTGGCCAGTGAACATATGGTCCTTATCTACAGAGTGTAAAAGTTACACTGAACGTAGAGTCACATTTTCAGAGTCAATAATTAACACTACACTGGTAAGTGTTACTCCAGTTTTACACTCTGATTGAATAACACCCAGTGTTATGTTTTGACACTAAGAGTTGTAGAGTTAATCTGAATTTACTCTTGTTAATTCACTCTTCATTATTGTTAAACATACTTAACACTGAGTGTTGCTTAAGAAATTACTCCCCACAGTGTTGATATTTAAGTGACTCCTGCCAGTGTTAAACATACTTAACACTAACGGAGCTTACACACGGCGGCGTGCGTTGAAGCTTCAATGCTTCTGCCCATTCACTTTGAATGGGGTGACGTCAAGCTTCGCCGAATTGCATTGTGGGAGCAAAGCGTAGCTTTGCTCGCTTCAAAAGTAAAGCAATGTTCTACTTTTGAAGCTTCTACGGAAGCGTCAGCCAATCGAATCATATGCCAGTACAAGCTCTAGCCAATCAAACCGCTGCTTGTGTGTCCGGGGCGGGAGATTCAGGTGATTGGTTGTTGGTCAAGCTTCAGACATGCCCGCCGGCAAGCTTCAACGCACGCCGCCGTGTGTAAGCTCCGTTAGTGTAGTTTAAGAAATTACTCCCCACAGTGTTGATATTTAATTGACTCCTGCCAGTGTTAAACATATTTATGTGTGTTTACTCCTAGAACTGTTATTCTTACCTAAGATGTTGTTAGTTTTAATTAACTCCTCAAGGGTTTTGCATTCATCTACTTTATTATGCCCAGTTTACACTTAAAATTATTGCACAGTGAACAAAAACAACGATTATATCCATGTCTTGATATCAATTTATTTAAACAGAAAAACACTGACTCAATGTTACATTTCAAACAAAGTTTCTTCAAAAACGGGGGACTCGCACATCAGAGCATTATTATTTTAAGTCAAATCAAGTGCCAAAAATAAAATACACCTAATGAGTTTCAGTCAGCAGGAGCGAGGATGCTAAACATCTGTCACCGTGTGGAGTCAGTCAGACCTTTCGTCCGGTTGTATTGGTTGATAATACCATCGCCACCTGATTTCTTGGTTAGTGCAGATTTAACCAACTGTGAAAGGACAGAGTAAAAGACAAGACTATTTTCACCCAAAAATAAACAATGTTGAACAATTGACACCAATACACCAACAAATACACATTCAAAAAATGTATGCCATCCTCAAAGGAAGCCGTCAAAAAAAACACATGTTACCCTTTTGGCATCGTCATCAGTCTTCTGGAAGGGCTTTCATCCTCCATGAACGTGTCATTAGAGCTGCAGGCTAAATGTTCCAGCGCTGAATTGGTTAGCTCATCAAGCAGTAGACTGGCAGAGGAAGTTGTCCCCTTGGAAGCTAAGTGCATTTCAGGAGAATAAGGGAGAGGAGAAATAATAAGCATAAACACCTTCCATTTGTCGGTTTTTCACATTCTAAAATTATATCGGAGTCTTAGTAGAGAAAAAAATGAGAATCAAGAGAGAACAGATTAACCATTGTCAAATCTGATAGTAAATACACCAGCGTTGGGAAGCTGTGCTACTTCTTCAAATACGTCTCCATCCAACTCAGGTCCTGTCTCGTCTTCACTGACCGGAGGGATGGAGAACTTGATCAAAGCTTAGGAGAGAAACAGAGTCATTCTATGTGAAATGCTCAAGATTAACAAGGGCATAACCAGGGCTGCACATAACTGGTGCGCAGGTGCGCATGCGCACCTCCGCCAAAAAAAGAGCACCGGGTCATTTGAAAAAAGGCGCATTTGCGAACCAAAATTGAGAAAGAGAGAGAAGGGAGAAGAGAGGAGATGAGAGAGAGAGAGAGAGAAAGATATTTGCGAGTTGCATATGAACTCCGGGTCGGCCCGTAGCACTGGCGTTATACATAACCCCAAAACACCTTCAATGATACCTTTTGAATTGTCAATAATCTGATCATACTTTCTTGCCTACCAACATTTATTTCTCAAGTTAGATACCACACCAGTTAGGTGAGAAATTAAACTCAACTAAGCCAACAAACAAAAATCAGCCCCTTGATTCCTGTGACCTTAGGAGATGCCCAAAAGGTAGATATAACTTTAAAGTTTAAACAGAACAATCTTCAATCACAAAAGTCATGAACAGGCACATCCACTTTTAAGAAGGCCTATTACTTATGGCTTACCAGAATTCAAAAACTAAATATTTATGTTCGTTATCGATTCTTGTTTTAATCAACATGACAGTACCTGTAAACAATTCAAAACAGAATCTGTTTTATCTACAACACAAAGCTACTCTGACAGCAGCATCAGATCCTACTGGCATGTGTCCAACTTAAAATGTAAACTGACTGGACTGTGGGGGGTCTCTGAAATGTGCAAGCATTTTGACATGCGTGAAAGCAAAGACTAATGTTAACATTTACTTACTCTAAAATGTTACTTACCATTACCAGGCCACAGCACATAACAGACAAATCTGAAAAACAAAGTAGAACAATTTATGAATTCTATATAACTTTAGAAGGAATACAGGAAGTCAGTTAGCTTATAATTAGAGAATAAACTGATTTTCCAAAGTCTTGTTAAATACATTTTACATACTTTTTTTTAAACACCACTATGCATTTACATAAGAGGTTCATAGCAATGTTCCATTCTACCTCTTTCACAGTTTGCCGTTTTTACTTTTATCAAAGGGTATATTGATCAAATTCACTATGGCACAATGTTCCCTATTAAATAATGGTGTGTTCAACTCTTACATTTGACTTGAGGAAGAACATCTGTGTTTGAATTGTTATTTCCAGGGTTAAAAATGTATTTTCTTTTTAAATGTAACTATCTACCAGCCAATGACAGACACATGTTTAAATTCACCTGCCACTACTTTCTTTGTGTCTGAAATACACCAGTCACTATCATATTTGACCAGCATTTGACTGGTGCTCGTGCACATTTACAGTCACGTCAACGTGAAACACAAGTGGTTTGTCTTTATTTTTTGGTAAATTAATAAGGTTACTTTAACCTGCCGACACATGATACACGATTTACGATTTTCTCGCCGCGAGAGCCTTTCGGTGTAAACAGCCAGTCCTTTTTATATGGTAACTCCTCTGCTAGCTTGCACCGCTACATACAGATGTAATCTGATTGGTCGAAGTTTAGCGGTTACTAGGAACATGCACTATTAAGTTGAACTAGCCAACAAATACATAATAATTAATCCCTTTCATATAAAATACATGCATTAACCAAGTCATACGAAATTAATTAAGGTTACGCTATTGTTAAATTCATGTGCGAAAAAAGCTAACATAATGCTAATGTTATCTAGTTTAACCAACACATGCAGTCTTTGCTATTTTACTGAAATATAGCCTATAGATGTTACAAAGACAACACAACCGCCCCTCTAAATTGACAACGTTCACGGTACCTCCTGCCAACATTAGTCTAGCTCGCTGTTAGCTAGTTCTTGTAAATTAGCTTAAATGCTCACATGTGTAAATTAGCCATCTACTCCGTCACTTTAGCCCTTTCGAACTCTGTATTTTAAAGACACAAAACCAACTGGAGTGTGTGTTTAACAACAATATAAAGTTATTTTAAAATGCTGCATTTGTTGAAATGTCAAAAATAATTGATTGAAAGAGAGAAACTAGTGATGTTATGTATTGCGCCGAGGCTTCGGAGCGTGTGCCGAGTAATCCCCGAAGCTTTTTGTGAAGCATGTATCGAGGCATGTATCGTTTTGGGCCAGTGACGTCAACGATGACAAACGAAGCCTCGCTGCCTGTCGATACCACGTGACTGCTTCACGAAGCGATTCAGATCGGTTGAACCGTTGAACCACAACGCTCATATTACCCATGGATGTATAAAGGCCCTGACACACCAAGCTGATATCGGCTGTTCTCGTAAGTCGGGAGACGAAGCGTGTCCTGTCGCCCAAACTCAATTTGGTGTGTCCCGAACCGTCGACCGTGACACGCCTTATTTGGACTGCCTGACCCGATCCATGGCCGATTCAACATGTTGAATCGGCCATGGATCGGGTCTGGCAGTCGGACCAAACAATCACTCTGATTGGCTGTTCAGCTAGCGAATCAGTGCATGAGAAGCGATACGGAAGTGAGGGACGTAAACAAACGATTTAAGAAGAAGGCACACACAGACTGCTATTCATATTTAAATATAGCAACATCTTTAGCTTGCATACCTGTTGCCAAAAATCGCAGCGTAACCATCAGACGTGTCCCCACGGAGATGCAATCCCGGTAGTTGGTGTTTTCCCTCTGGATGATTGGAGTGATGAGTTCCTCCAACATGTGGAACTGCACAGGAAAAAGCCGAGCGAAATTTCTGAAATCTGGCACTTCATTGAATTCCAGCTCTCGACACAGGTTCGGGGAAGCACCGTGAGCTTCTCGCTGTAGTATCCATGACTTCACCCATTTAGTGCGGTTTCTCCTAATTCTTCGCTTCCGCTTCTTGAGAGACTGTTGCTTGAGAATGTCTTCCACAAGTAACACTGCAATGGCTGATAGCTCCAGTGCCGCACGAAACATGTTTTAGATGGACGAGAGGGAAAATGGAACGCACAAGCTATTTGTTGTTGTTTATATCACGGTCTGTTCTTCTTCTCTGTCTTCCGGTTGTTGCCTCTTTTGAATGACGAATACACACTACCGCCGCCTGCTGGTAAGGAGAGTTATTGCCACTCACGCACTGAAGTCTTTGCGGTGTGTTCCCGTGCGACACATGGCCAAGACGCAGGAGAACACGGCCAGGCAACAGCCGACGTCAGCGTCGGCGAGTCCTCTGGTGACTGCTTGGTGTGTCAGGGCCTTAAGAACGATATTACCCCTCCTGTACCCAGGCCCGCTGGTGACACGATGGAATTAAGAGAGCTCAGACCCTCACTTATATAGAGGTCGGAACATGTCATAAGTATAAATAGATAAAAGCATAAATAAATGTAGGAAAAAAACCATGAATGAATAAATACGTTAGAGTGTTTTCAGGGAGATTCAGCTTGTGTGCTCCAGTCAGCTGGAAAGCAGTTGACTCACGATCGCAGGGTTCCTGGTTCAACGACTCGTCAATACGTCTTTTTTGTTGTTTATAAAAGCTACAGATACATGAGATAATGTAGTTAATAAATGTATTATTTGATATGGTTTAGCCTTTCTCAGGCTACAACATGGTTACGTTTATGAATATTAGTAAGGAATACAAATCCCTCTTTGCAATGTTTACCAGCCTCCTTAGGCTTTTCAATCACAATCATTCAACTGGAATAAAAACAATATTGTTAACATGAAGATATGATTTAATGTTCGTTGTTTAGATGTATTCTAAGGCTTTACTCAATGGGAGAGAGCACACTGTTGAGATGTCCAATCTGCCTGTTTTACACACTTTGACCAACAGGGGGTTTGTGTTCAAATGAAGCCCATGATGAAGCCTCATGAGATGAACCCTTTTGCGAACCAATTGGCTGGAAAGCTTCAAAGCTTCATAAGGCTTCATCTCGCCATCACTAAGAGAAACTTACCGAAACCTTTCCACGAGGAAAGAATTGTGCCGATGCAGTCCTGGTCTATCAGAAGCGAGGTGGGCGGAGTACTTTTTACGCTACGTCTTTTAACTCCGAAGTTTTTCACCAACACTTGGGGGCTTGCGGCGCATTTTACTCTAGTAGATGTTGTAATAACTCTGAAAGAGTCTATGAACTTTGACAATGAATATTTAACACTGGGGAATTTACTGTGAAGGCTTTTGTTTTTTACCGAGTATTTTTACACTGTTGAGTTGTTACTGTAAAGCAGTGACGTGCGGTGAGGTTCATGGCTGGTGAGGCACTGACTCTTTCAGAGTCAGATTTACAAATATCATATTTTGACCATAATTCACATATTCGGTTATTTTCAAAAGCTTTTTTAGTCTGATGCTTCGATTCATTTTAAACAGACCGTTCAACAAAAGGATACACACAATCTAAATATTGGATTGTTCTTTCTTAATATGATCCCATTTTCATTACAATTGGGGTCTTACCTTGACTTGAAGATGAAGTCCATGCTATCCTTCTGGACAACAATCTCTATTACTTTTTTGTAAAAGCCCTCCTTATCTTCCTCTAGTTTCAAAAGTCTAGTTTGTTGTTTGCGTCACGTCTACCGCCATGGTCTACCCCGTCTCTACGTAGAATAACAGTAGCAACAAGAACCTGTGGGCTCCCTTGCGCCCCCTTCAGTGCGGCAGAGGTTATGGCTGCCGCCCCTGGTGCTTTTTTCATTGCCGTTGTATGATGAGACCAGCGAGCCTAAATATCATATATACGTGAAATAAGTTATTTAGAGACTATGGATGGCGAGGATAAATGTAATAAAGGGATCTACAAACATTACATTGGTGACATACAGTGAGATGGTGCAGGCATGCGCTTAGGGCCCGCTTTCCAGCCAGTTTCTGTGGGGTGACGCATTCTGAGGTGAGGCAGATCTCATCTGTGCCTCACCTCACCACACAGTAACTGGCTTGAGCGCGCTCACAAAATAAGTGCCCGCGTTAAATTAGTGCCCGCGCTCCAGCCAGTTACTGTGGGCTTACGTGAGGCAGAGCTCGTCCCTGCCTCACTTCTCATCGCTACCCGTAGTTGCAGTAGCCTATTGTTTCCACTACTGTGTTATTATTGAACTTTAGAGGTGTGAATAGTCAAACAATACAATATACACTTAACAAGACTTAAATGATTTACGAACATCTCAGTGTCTGAGAGCAAATCAAAGTTCCTTATCTGGTTTGTGTTTTCTAACTGTAAATATGTGTGATAAACAAGCTCTGGCTCCAAGCAGATGCACTTAATCAATCACAAATTGAATTTGCGATGGTACAGATTCTTATTTAACGGTGTGTGGGCAATTTGACTGTGTCACGAGACGTTCTGATGGATAAATGGTATAAGAATGGGCCCCCCTCCAGTCAACACCTCTATGTTTCTGACATGGCCATTCCACGTCACACTGCTTGAAAAATGAGCTCCGTAGAGGCATGCAGCCCTGCTATGAGATTGCACTTCATAAAGGGGAACAGCTCACAGGGGTGAAATTCCACTGTAGGGTTATGGATTTTCCAGTACATCACTGATAGATTGCACTAATATAACCTCAATAAAGAGTTTGAGGAGAACTTTATGGATGTTTTCCCTCTTTTGTCATCACATTTTTCTCTCCTTTGATGTGTGCTCCATTTGATTCGTCTGTTTTTTTGTCATACTTTGTCTGGCTGTCACTCACGGGGTGCACACTCCCAGCACATTAGTCATGGGATGTGAACCATGGAGTGTTTCATCCCAAACTTTCACAACTTCCACCCCAAGCAAGTAATTTTGTTTGATTTTGCTTCCAGAGACGTGCATGGTTACAATGCACATGAATTCCTAAACAGCACTGCTTGGCACAAAAGAGAATAAGGGTTCATTACGACTTTCTCGTTGAATTGTCTCTCCAAGCCATGGCTTCAAGTCAGGACCAGCCAGAGTGCATTGCATGTATTACAATGAGACAACATGACTTGTTCACAATGGAATTATATTCTGCTATTGTAAGACCTACATGTTTTTATACAACATTAAAAACATGTTGAGAATAGTTTCAAATATTTTACAGGCATGCTAGCATGGAATTGTACAGTTTGCATGTTATAGTGAGACAGGAAACAATGGTAGAAGGAAATGGTGTGGTGTGGATTTTACTGATTTACTGATGCTGATTCATTCAAATGAAAATTTTCTTTTTTGGGGTGGGGCGTATACAAAGTAATAATGTGCTGAATGGGGTTCCAGGAAGTTATCATACTCCTAGTTTAAAAAGCATTTATTAAACTGGGTTCATCTGAAAAATGCTGTTTCACAATGCTAAAAGAATTGCAGTTTTTTGTAAGCTCATGAAATCTAGACGATTTGGAGATATTATCGGTGGTGCTGGCGAAGTCGATAGGGAGTTGGCTTGGCAACTGGAAGGTCACCAGTTCAAGTGCTACCGAGGTGTCCCTGAGCAAGACACCGTTCCCTACACTGCTCCCCGGGCGCCGTTCAAAATGGCAGCACACTGCTCCTAACACTAGGATGGGTCAAATTCAGAGAAACAATTTCCCCACGATGGATTAATAAAAGTCCATCTTATTTGTATTTATTACACAAGAGAAGTGGTTGAAACATAGTGAAGCTTTATGCAAATAAAATCATCATCACCCTCTGAAATTATTATTATTTATTTATCGTTCTCTCCTCACCACAAATTGTATCGTTAGTTGTTTTGTATTCTTGCTCTCAAGTTAAGCTTGCACAGTGGTGTCAGACCACAGTGCTATAAGACCCTGGGATTCAGTGGAGGAATTCCCATGTGGTGGGTAGATGATGCAAGACCTCTGTCTATAAATTGTCCTATTGTGCCCACATGCTGTGCAGGCTCACTGGGATCCATATGCAATGTGAGAAAGGCCAGCTCAGCATGTCATGTGGAAGAACAGATTTGATTCAAGCAAGGGACAATCTTTTTTCTGATCAGTTCAAGACTTTTATTTGGTCCATGCATGATCAAAGGAAAAGGGTAACATTAACCCTCATGTTGTGTTCGTTTTCCCCCCCTTACTTTGGTGTTCCCGGTCAAATTTGACCCGTCCTGTTTTAAATGCTCTTTAACACAAAAAAACATTAATTATCACCACATTTGTATTAACACCCTTTCAAACTGTAAACAATGTATCAGACTACGGTACTGCTGTACATGAAAAACTGCAGTAAATATAAAACAAATAGACACTGAACTAAATGTTTTAGTATGTTTGTGATGTAATCAAAAAGACAGCCACACATAACCACCTAAAGATCTAAGTTCTCCCACACTACACCGCTTACAGTATCACCTAATGTGCTGTAAATGGACCAGACCCTTCCTACATCCAAAAGATAGTTAAACCATTCACGCAAGCACTTGCCTTTTCATTTGCCGAATCGGCTCGCTACTACTTCACTGAGATTCATTTGAGCACGTGCCTCTCAACAAAAACATGCATGTTTGCTATGCTGGCTCCAAAATGGTGGAACGTCCTCCCCATTGATATTAAGACAGCGGAAAGTCCACACATCTTCCAACTGAAAACCCACCTGTTTCAACTGCAACTTGCAAACCCATAAGAATACAAAATAAAAACACTTCTCACTTCTGTATGTAGCACTACACATAAGCCCATGCAGTAGCACTTTCAATTATTGAAAGCTAATGTGCTTGCACTTTCGCTACTCTTTGCAAAACTGCCTGGACGCTATTAGTGTACTGCTGATGGCGACAAGGTAAGGAAATCTAACACTAGCTCAAAAAGTGATTTAATTTGTGAATTTGAAAAGTCCAAAAATATCTTCATGTAGATATATAATCAAATGTAAAGATTACCAATGATGCTTGTTGTTGTTGTTGCTGTGGTGCTCTCAGGTGTTGAAAATAGATGCTACTGTTATATAAAACACCCGATACTCAACATTTCTGTGAGGAAAGCTGAGGAAAAATTGAATCCTGTCTCACAACCTTTAAAAAATAAGCCGACAGCTGTGGTCTGCAAATCTGAGCCCCTGCTTGCTCAGTCACCAAG